ATCTCTTCTGCCCTCCCGGGCCACAGCAGAGAGCTGGACTAGAAGAGGAGCAGCCGGGACTAGTACCTGGCGCCCCAATCGGGACTAGAACCCGGGGTGCCCATGGTATTATTTTAAGGGGAAAAAAAAGTTCTGGCACACTGCTGATTAGCTAGCCTATTTCCCAAATAGATAAGTACACCTAACAGAACTTTAAGTAAATTAAAAAGTCTGGAACTGGAGCTTTGACACTACCACTGGTGAAATTCATTCTAATTCTTATTTTTTCAAAATAATTTTTAAGAAGATTATTTATTTGAAAGAGCTACAGAGAGAAGAGAGAGCAGAGAGGTTGGTTCACTCCCCAATTGGCTGCAACAGCTAGAGCTGCGCTGATCTGAAGCCAGGAGCTTCCTCTGGGTCTCCCACGTGGGTGCAGGAGCCCGAGAACTTGGGCCGCTTCTACTGCTTTCCCAGGCCATAGTAGAGAGCTGGATCAGAAGTGGAACAGCAGGACTTGAACCAAAGTCTATATGGGATGCCAGCACTGCAGGCGGTGGCTTTATCGCTATGCCACACCACCAACCCCCATGCTAATTCTTAAACTGTTAACACTTCAGCTCTAGTCTGAGTGTCCTAAGTGTCCAGGAGAGCAGCCCTGTTAAGGTTTATCAAGATGCATATAAAGCACGACCCTACTAACCTAGAAAGGAACTTATTATTATTGTTATTAATTATTTCTCTTAGGGTGAGTGACTTTTTAGGAGGTATCAATTTGCTTAGCTCTGGTTGAGGTCTAAAGTGCTGATGTTTTAACAGCTCCAAGGTGAGCTCTGCAGAGCCAAAGGTGAAGACTATCCAGGTTAGGGTTGTTCTAGAATATTCTAGTCCTTATATATATTATCCATATTGAAAGTGGTACCTAGCCTTGTCTAGGTTAAAAATAAAACACCATTTGTCCTTAAGATGAAGGGTTCCACTTTGATCCTCATTACATTTAGTCTTAGGTGCTGTAGTGTTTGGATAAGTCCTGTTTTTTCCTACCACAGTAATCCTAGTGACCAATTCAAATAGTGTTGTCTTTGGGAAATAGTGTTGTCTTTGGGAAGGAACAGGTATATCGTAAGTCAGAGCCATGTCACAGAAAACATTACCTTTCATTTTTTAAGAATTAGCTGTTTTATTTCTGTGTTTGCTTATTTTGCTTCAATCACAAATTCATTGAGATCACCATGGTGAAAGGGCAGGACAATCCTAATTTTCCCTTATATTTTTCATGCAAATGTTTAAAAAAAGACTTGACAGACCAGTGCCCACATAGGATGCGGGCACTGCTGGCAGAAGCTTTACCTGATACACATCACAGCACTGACCCCTCCATGTAAACAGTCCTTGTAAAGCTTAACACTGTTAACTTCAGATATAATCTATTAAGTTCTCTTTGAGAGGTTTACTTCAAAACCTTTGTCAGCATCTGAGGCTACTTCAAATATTCATAAAAACTGGAATTAAAAAATTTTTGATGCAGTAATTGTTAATCCTTATACAGGTTTTCCTTAATACTTATTTCTGGTGGATTTCCTGAAGTACCCATGTTGACAGATGTGTTACTTGTATTGCAAAATTTGAACCACAGAAAAACCAATACATTTTCCAGTATAACCAGGAGATGGTGCTGTGTTACTAGGCAAAGCAAGCAAGGAGTTCTAGACCAGTTTGCATACCATCTTAAGGACTTTACTCTTAATCATTATTCTGGTGAGAATTCTGAGTAGTCCTGGAGAATTGATATTTAAGATTCAAAGATAAGATAAAAATGGTTCTACCAGAGAGGCGGAGCTAACCCTTAACCAGTTCTCCTGACAAAAGTCACCATTTTTCTTGTATGCTATGTATCTGGTACTGAATCTTGGATATGAGAATAGATTCTCCCTAAAACTGAGTACCTATCATTTTGGGATTTCCTCCCTAAAAATGCCATTCTGGGGGCTAGTATTGTGGAAAATGGTCCAGGTACTTGGGCCCCTGCACCCATGTGGGAGACCTGGAAGAAGATCCAGGCTCCTGGCTTTGTCCTGGCCCAGACCAAGTCATTGTGATTTGGGGAGTGAACCAGTGGATGGAAGATCTGTCTCTCCTCCTAACTTTGCATTCTAAAAAATAATATTTTTTAAAAATGCCATTCTGCCCTCAATAGTAATGGATTACATGGGAGAGAATTTCTTTACCATGTACCTGAACCTTTCAAGAAAAGTCATCAAGTACAGATACTATCTAAAGTCATGAGCAGAAGGCAATGGGCAGAATCCACAACAGACCTAAGCCAACAGTGAAGATACTTTACCTCCTAAAAATCTACACCTAAATACAGTATACTAAGAGATAACCGTTTTTGCATCAGCCCCATTATACTGTCAAACTAATTAGTACCATAATCCATATATCACTGGTGATCTATGAAAAAGCCAAGTGACTTTCACTTACTTCCCTCCTAATCCTATGACTTGCCCACTGATCATTTTACAAGACTGTCTGGTATAGGCTGTTGCCATTTCATCTGAATAGGTAGGAAGAAAGAAATAATTTTTTTTACCAGCAAAATTAGAATTAGTTTTGTAACTCACCTCAAATATGCCCAGGAGTCTGCCTAATTTTCCTTTGACTCCAGCCTATCAAAAAAAAGATGAAATGTAAAACATTTACCTTTTCATAATATTTACAGAAAAGTTACATGTGGGCTATTTCAATTTCAGAACTTAAGCACAATAAGTCCTCTCATACCAAGTTCTGTTTCCGCTGTGTCAAGATTTATCCTCTGCGGGTTGCTATAAAACATGGCTTAGTTCATTTTATATGCAAGTTCCTATTGACCAGATTTATTATCATTTTAATTCATAAGTAGCAAGGACTGATAGAAAATATTCTTTTCTGATTAAGTGCAGAGTGCTTGAGATGCCTGCATTACATAGTGAGTCCAATTCCAGCACCTTGCTAATGTGTACCCTAGGAGGCGGTAGGTGATGGCTTAAGTACTTGGGTCCCTACCACCCACATGGAAGACCCAGATTGAGTTCTGTGCTCTTGGCTTCAACCTGGTCCAGCCCCAGAGAGTGAACCAGTGGATGACAATCTGTCACTCTGCCTTTCAATTATTTTTTTAAAAATTAAAACTGTGTACCAATTTTTTTTAAAGATTTATTTATTTGAAACAGTTATACAGAGACAGAAGGAGAGGCAGAGAGAGAGAGAGAGGTCTTCCATCTGCTGGTTCACTCCCCAATTGGCTGCAATGGCCGGAGCTGCGCCGATCTACAGCCAGGAGCCAGGAGCTTGTTCCAGGTCTCCCATGCAGGTGAAGGGGCCCACGGACTTGGGTCATCTTCTACTGCTTTCCCAGGCCATAGCAAGGAGCTGGATCGGAAGTGGAGCAGCCAGGACTCGAACCGGCGCCCATAGGGATGCCAGCACTGCAGGTGGTGGCTTTATCTGCTATGCCACAGCGCTGGCCCCTTGTCTACCAATTTGAGACAAACTTCATATATGAAAACAGATTCCTATATCAATAAAGTAAATGGATTCTTTACTTTTTTTAACTTAAATTTTTAGATAGAGGCACTGATAAGAGAGCTTGCTCCCATCTACTAATTGACGCCCCTCCCCAAATACTCCTAATAGCCAGGATGACAGGCTGGAATGAAGTCAGGAACTTAACCAAGTGGGTAGCAGGAGCCCAGTTACTTGAGCTATCACTGCTGCCTCTTGGGATTCGTAGGAAGCTGCTGTTAGGAGGGGGAGGGCTAGGGCTGGGGCTGGTGCTGTGGCATAGTTGGTTAATCCTCTGTCTGTGGCGCCAGCATCCCATATGGGTGCCGGTTCTAGTACTGGTGCTCCACTTCCAATCCAGCTTTCTGCTATGGCCTGTAAGTTCTTGGAACCCTGCGCACCCGCGTGGGAATCCTGGAAGAAGTGCCTGGCTCCTGGCTTTGGATTGGCATAGCTCCAGCCATTGTGGCCATTTGGGGAGTGAACCAGAGGAAGGAAGACCTCCCTCTCTGTCTCTACCTCTCTGTGTAACTCTGTCTTTCAAATAAATAAAATAAATTAAAAAAAAAAAATAACCTTTAAGAGTAAAAATGGTTGGCGCCTTTCTGTCTCTCCCTCTCATTGTCTGTAACTCTACCTCTCAAATAAATAAATAAAAAAAAAAAAAAAAAAAAAAAAAAAAAAAAAGAGGGGGAAGTCATCAAAGGCCTTGTGGCATCGTGGATTAAGCTGCTACCTGTGATGGCAGTATCCCATGTGGGTGCCAGCTCATGTCCTGGCAGCTTCACTTCTGATCCCGATCCCTGCTAATGGCCTGGGAAAGCAGCAGGACTGCCCAAGTGCTTGGGCCCCTGCACCCCCGTGGGAGACCAGGATGAAGCTCCTGGAGTCTGTCCCAGCTCTGGCTCTGGCTGTTGCTGCCATCAAGGTAATGAACCAGTGAATGGCATCTTTATAGGCCAAATACCTATGCTTCTTCCCCCTTAGAACCCCATTTTTCCTCAGAGCACATCATTTTTTATTTTGTTACCCCTTCTGTTGCAGAATATTCATTAGTTATACTTAGTTAGCAGAACTGCAACTTCAGTGTCTTCTCCCTTCAAATCTGTATCAGACTGGGGCATGCTGTTTCCTCTACTTAGAAAGTATTCTTCCCTCAGGAAGCTTTCAAGATCCATCTCTATGAATATTACACAATTCTGGGGAACTTCCATGTGGACTTAGCTCTATTTTACCAGGAAAAAAAAAAAAAAAAACCCTGTTTAGCGAAGTACTAACTATAGTCACAAGCTTAAAAACGCTGCATCAGGTAACAAAAACCTCCTGTGATGTGCCAGTTTTCTTACCTTTTCTTCAGTGTAATGTAACAAAATGTCTTGTTAGTAAACCTCACACAGTTGACTCCCCTGTGAAACCTAAGGCACAGTGTCTGTAAAAGAAGAAACCACTCTTGATCTCACCTCCTCATAAACCTCCCTCACGGCAGCACCACCAGGCTCCTCCTCCGGCTCCATTCCTCCACCTGGGACAATCCATTGGTCTGGGTAGCGACTGCTGCTCACCAAGAGCACCTGCAAGATGAATCCATAACTGTACCTCCAGCCTGTGAAGCACAGCATTCTCCAACCTGTGCAAGTGTTTACTCTAGTTTAGATCAGTCCACTTTAGAAATTTCATGGAAACTACTATATGTGATTCCACAAAAAGCAATGATAGCCTTTGTTAATCAGCCTTTTGAAAATCAGAATCCACACTGGGGTTGGCCTCGTGGCGCAGAGGGTTAAACTGCCATTTGCAGTGCCAGCCAGTTCCAGTACTAACTGCTCCACTCTGATCCAGTTCCCTGCTAATGACCTGGGAAAGCAGTGGATAATGGCCCAAGTATTTGGATCCTTGCAACCATGTGGGAGACCCAATGGTGTTCCTAGCTCTTGACTTGGGCTTGTTCCAGAGCCATCTGATGTGGCCATTTGGAGTGAAATCAGTGGATGAGAGCGCTAACTCTGCCTTTCATATAATTAAATCTTTAAAAATTCAACACCAACACGCTCACTTTACTGAATCACTCTGTACCTAATCATTTATCAGATTCAATTAGCAAAATTCCCAATTCTTGGGAAATTATCAAAGGATAAAGGCAGACTTCGTTTATTGCATGTACTGATGATTGTGATACATTAGCTATTTCCCAAATAAGCATTATGACTCTAGGCAGGTCACCTTGTTTGCTTACGTGTAAAATCTAATAATACTTAACATTTTGTAGGGTAACAGATGTGAGAAAGAAATAGGGAAGTAAATGGAAAGCTGATGCTTGTTATTTTTATGCTTTAAATTAGGTGGAGGCTGGGCACCGTGGCTCACTTGGCTAATCCTCCACCTACGGTGCCGAGACCCCAGGTTCTAGTCCCGGCTGGGACGCCGGATACTGTCCAGGTTGCTCCTCTTCCAGTACAGCTCTCTGCTGTGGCCTGGGAGGGCAGTGGAGGATGGCCCAAGCACTTGGGCTCTGCACCCACATGGGAGACCAGGAGGAAGCACCTGGCTTCTGGCTTCGGATTGGCGCAGCGCGCCAGCCGTAGCGGCCATTTGGGGGGTGAACCAATGGAAGGAAGACCTGTCTGTCCTCTCACTGTCTAACTCTGCCTGTCAAAAATAAATAAAAATCAGGTGGAGAAGCCCCTTTCATATTCCAAACCTATACAAATGAGCATAAGTTGTTCCATTTTACCAACAGGCAGTTATAATTTATGAATCAGAATAGGATTGGCAAACTACAGCCCACTACCTATTTTGCAGTCTATAAGCTAAATATGGCTTTTAAATTTTTAAATTAGGTAAAATTCAATTTCAGTGTCCATGGGTATAACATTAACACTGATGCACGTTTACCTATATCCCTGGTGGCAGCTGTGTTGCAAGAGCAGAGGAGGATAGTTTTGACAGACACAGCACTCACAAAGTGTAAAATATGTATCTGGCCACTTACAGGAAACCTCTGCAGACCCCTGATCAAGACCAGCATTAAGCATAAAGAGTACTAATTCTTTCACATGCTAAGAAAATAACAAACTATATTATAATAAATAAGTATTCTACAGATTAACTATTTGCAGTACACAAAATAGGTATTAAAAATTTGAGCTACATTATATTTAAATGCAGTCATAATAAAAAAAAGATTAAACAATCGATGTTTATAAAGTTAACAGACATCTTAAAGAAAAGTTTGTATAACTATCTTAGTATACTGCCTTCACGTAACTTTAAATAGTTTCCCCAAGGAAAACATATCAAGTTTAGAGCAAAGTTTAATCCCTGGTATGTCTACTCTCCCCCACACCTTAAAAAAACAAACAAAAAAAAACACAACACATGTATGCTACTGCCAGAGGAGCTGTTGGCCCTAAGAGTTCATTCTCGCTTGACAAAAACTGCCAGACACTCAGCCTTCCCAACTAGAAAGTTTCAGGCTAACTAAAGTCCAGAAACTCCCACCTTTCCCCACAAGGCAAGTTGGAAGATAAGGGAACACCTATGCAAGTAACTCCTTCATTAGAAAATAGCACACCATTGCCTATGGACATAGCCTATCTAGATCAATGATCAGTTAATGCTAATGGGATCAGCACTGTTTCTCTCATTCTTGATGTGTACTGAAATCTAAGGCCTCCATTAGAATCACTGCCAAATCCAGAAAACTCCTGGGAGCTAACAGTTAATAAAGATTGTTGTCAATTTAGGCTTAAAGTACTGCAAAACAGGGCTAATGTATCAAAATTAAAGAGCCAGGGTAAGCAAATCTAGCAAGTATCAGAAGACATGGTGTTATGTATTTGTTAGGCTGTCACAAAACACACCAGACACCGGAGTAAGGGAAAGGGTTTTTTGGGGAAAACCCAGCAGGCTGGAGGGAAGGGGTGAAGAAGAAAAAGAGAGAAGGAGAGTATGTGAGAGAAACAGGAGAGGAGCTAGTGAGGAGAGAAGAGAGAGGAAAGGGGGAGAGGAGAGCAGACAAGAGGAGCCAAGAGAGCAGAAGATCCAAGAGAGCCATGTGTTCAGGAACAGTCCCTTTTAAAACTCTGAGCAAGGGCGGGCAGGGAAACAGGAGCAGCGAATCCCGTTAGGATGGGGGTGGAGCTTGACAACAGGTACTTGGGCCATGTGGCCACCTGGCTTCAGCAATGGTGGCGGGAACCGGGACATAGGACCGTAAATCAGGGTGCAGATGGCGCCATAGATCAAACTGCCAGTTTCCTAACACATGGGTTTAAATTTGAAGGTGTTTGTTCGGAGATCATAACCAAATAGATTTCATTCTTTGATACATAGAGTGATGTCTAACAGGCTGCCTTTCAATGCATCAATTTCCTTGTCTATAAAAAGAAATAACTCTCCTTGTAGGATCGCACAATTATCTCAGATCCTGGTCCAGGCACTGTTGGCTGCCATAAGCTTTCTGCTCTTTCCAACTGAGTTGAACCAACTCATCAACAATTAAACTTGTTCCCAAATTATGCTAGCTGTTACTTGCTATATAATTACTGAGAATGAATGATGAAATGAGGACAGCAAGGAATGTATCAAAGACTAGAGATTTATTAAAGGCAAGCTAATTAATAACTGCTATCAAATTAAGTATGAACAAGACAACTCTAATAGAATGAAAAAGGAATTAACTCTAAAAAAGAGCCTAGAAGGGTCTCTAAATTCAAATAAGTCTTGGCACTTCATCAAGACAGGCAAATGAATATAAGTCTAAGTTAAAATAACAATGTCTTGAGATTCTCAAGTCACCAGGAAAATAAAAGGTAACTTCTGATTCTGATTAGGGACAACGTGGTTTTTAATGACTGGATGAAATTCATACCACACAATTTTCTCACTAAGCAATACCCTTGATTATATATATTCATAATGTGCCAAGCTGGTGCAGGTGGCTAACCACCAAGAGAGTACATCCTCTTTTAGGAAGTAGGAAGTTTATAAACTACTTTTGAGACTCATGAAAACAAATCTATATAAATTCGGGACAAATGATCTAGCCTAGTCCAAGGATTTATGCAATAGCCTGTGAACATTCCAAAAAGATTAAACTGGATCAAATCATTAACTTATTTAATCTTTCCAAAAAATTTATCAATTTAAATGATTATTACCTGGGATGTAGAAATGTTTGACATTTAAATTACTAGTTTAAGAACGATTTGTTTGGGGGCCGGCGCTGTGGCCTAGCAGGTTAGGCCACTGCCTGCAGTGCCAGCATCCCATATGGGGTGTTGGTTCGAGTCCTGGCTGCTCCACTTCCAATCCAGCTGTTATGGCCTGGGAGAGCAGTGGAAGATGGCCCAAGTGCTTGGGCCCCTACTCTAACGTGGGAAGACCAGGAGGCTCCTGGCTTTGGATCAGCATAGCTCCAGTGGTTGCAGCCAACTGAGAAATGAACCAGTGGATGGAAGACCTCTCTCTCTCTCTCTCTCTGTGCTCCTCCTTCTCCCTCTGTGTAACTCTGATTTTCAAATAAATAAATAAATCTTAAAAAAAAAAAAAAAGGGAAAGATTTGTTAAAATCCATCTTTCGGTGATGGCAGATTTGAAACCCAGTGTTATCTCATTAAGCACTTGTCTACTCATCTCGACTGACAAACCTGCAGACGGAACTAAGTTCCTATGTGCCCTCCATTTGCCAATAATTCTAGCTGTTCTGAGCACTGACTTCCATGTATAGACTTTTCATGCCTTGAGGCCCTGACCCTGCACTAACACATTTGCCACTGACATCATATGGCTGTTTGAAATTGACTTATTATCCACTTATAATTTCATGTAAAAGATTACCACTTCAAAGATATCACATTCTTGGAAATGGGGTGGAAGAATAGTCACATAATAGGCTCAATGTTTTGTTGCTGTAGCAAGCAATAATATATAGATCTGTATTAATCTATGTTGACAAATGGTTCTATGTAAATTTCAGACAAGTGATTTAGCCTAATTTCACTAACATGCAAGAATTCCCTGACATCCCAAAAAGATTAAATATGACCAAACCACTAACTTTGAATATATTTTTCAAAAAACAATCACTTTAATGGACTGATGCTGTGCATAGTGGGTAAAAGCCACCACCTGCAATGCTGGCACTGGTATACCCCATATGGGTGCAGTTCAGTTCTGGCTATTCCACTTCCAATCCAGCTCCTGCTGTGTGCCTGGGAAAGCAGAAGATGGCCCAAGTAATTGGGCTTCTGCATCTATGTGGGAGATCCGGATGAAGCTCCTGGCTTTGGCCTGGCCAAGTCCAGGCTGTTGTGGTCTTTTGGAGAAGTAAACCAGAAGAGGCAAGATTGATCTTTCTCCTTTTCAAATAAATAAATAAAATCTTACCAAGAAAAGGATCAATTAAATGAATATAATACTTAATATGCCTGTGCTATAAATGAATGGAATCTAAACTCCTGGCCCAATAAAAGGTAAGTAATAGTACAGATTTGAAAACATTGGTTTTGGGGCTGGCACTGTGGCGCAGCAGGTTAAAGCCCTGGCCTGAAGCACTGGCATCCCATATGGG